CAGAGAAATACAACAGCTTCCCTCTGTATTTGAAATAGCACTGTGATTGTTCTCAGGATCGCAGATCACCTCATTGCCCCTGCTTCTAGTGAGGGGGAGTTATAGAATCATAGAATATCAGGGTTGGAAGGGACCTCAGGAGTCCAACCCCCTGCTCAAAGCAGGACAATCCCCAGTTTTTGCCCCAGATCCCTAAATGGCCCCCTCAAGGATTGAACTCACAACCCTGGGTTTAGCAGGCCAATGCTCAAACCACTGAGCTATCCCTCCCCCCTGTGTCTGTGCAGGCCCTCTAGGCACCGGCTGGGGTGGTTTCTCTGCTGTCATGGGCAGCACCCACCACGTCACCTCCCAGGGACTGCAGCCAGCCCAGGAGGAGGCTGTTTGCACAGAGCAGTGCCAGCCACCTGCCCCCGCCCCCGGGAGAGGAACACGCTAGCCCCGGCCGGGAGTGGCATGGGCCGCTGCCAACCATAGGCTATGAATACCGGAGGGCGGGGCACCGCCGCTCCCCAAGCCCCAGCAGACGCGTGAGCAGACGCCCCGAGAGCGGTCCCAGGCCCGCGGAGATGTCATGCCCACTGACTGACCAGGAGAAGAGGGAGCAGATCAGCATCCTCAGCATCGTGGGGATGGAGAATGTGGCCAAGCTGAAGGGCTTCAACCGGCACCTGCACTTCACCTGGTCAAGGACCACAACGTGGCTACCCCCCACGACTACTACTTCGCCCTGGCGCACACCGTGTGCAACCACCTGGTGGGCAGGTGGATCCGCACCCAGCAGTATTACTACGAGAAGGGTCCCAAGAGAGTTTACTATCTCTCTAGAATTTTACATGGGCCCTACCTTACAGAACACCATGATAAACCTTGGATTGAAGAATGCTTGTGATGAGTCAATTTATCATCTCGGGCTGGATATAGAAGAGCTGGAGGACATTGAAGAGGACGCTGGCCTTGGCAACAGAAGTCTTGGAAGACTGGCTGCCTGCTTTCTTGATTCAATGGCAACACTTGGGCTTGCTGCATATGGGTATGGCATCAGATAGGAATATGGAATCTTCAACCAGAAGATCCGAGATGGATGGCAGGTGGAAAAAGCCAACAACTGGTTTAGATACGGCAACCCTTGGGAGAAAGCCCATCCCGAGTACATGCTGCCTGTCCACTTTTATGGAAGAGTGGAACACACCAAGAGTGGACAGAAGTGGGTCGATATGTAGGTGGTCCTCGCCTTGCCCTATGATACCCCTGTGCCTGGATACATGAATAACACCATCAACACCATGCGGCTGTGGTCTGCTCGGGCACCTAATGACTTCAACCTCTGAGACTTTAATGTTGGAGATTACGTTCAAGCCATCTTGGACAGAAATTTGGCTGAGAACATATCACGTGTCTTCTATCCAAACTATAACTTTTTCAAAGGCAAAGAGTTGCGACTGAAGTAGGAGTACTTCGTTGTGGCTGCCACCCTCCAGGATATCATCCGATGTTTTAAAGCATCCAAATTTGGAAGCACGGAAAACGTTTGAACTATATTTGATTCTTTTCCAGATCAGGTAGCAATTCAGCTGAATGACACTCATCCTACACTGGCCATTCCCGAATTGATGAGGGTTTTTGTGGACATTGAAAAACTGCCATGGACGAAGGCCTGGGATATCAGCAAGTGGACCTTTGCCTATACAAACCACACAGTGCTCCCTGAAGCTCTAGAGCGCTGGCCAGTCAATCTTGTGGAGTCTTCCCTGTGGAATCTGGATGTCAGCTCCCTGACACCCCCGCCCATGAGCCTCTAAAGCTCTCCTCTCTGGGCTATGCCAGCACTGCCTTCACCTTACAGGTTTACAAGAGGTGCACCCGAGTCCCCTTGAAGTATTCCTCTGTGATATCCAGGCTACTCTCAGAAACGCCAGAGCCTCTAATCCCAAAGCAGCAGTGTACCCCAATTTTACCTTAAAAACACCACTCCTGTAAACTGCCCCTGTAAGCACTTAAATAAATCGTCTTGTTTTATTGCAAGAAAGACTAGAGGTTCCACTAGAAACCAGAGAGAGAGATGGAAACAAACTACTAGAATACAAAAAAAAATCATAAAATAAACTAGGGCCTACGTTTATTAATAGTAACCTTTCCCCTCTAATCAAGTAAGTTTCCCCCTTCCCCACCAAAGTTCAGTCTGTTGCAGAGCTGGCTGGCTACCCAGGAACCAGAATCCAGTCTTTCATGAAACACTCCTGTTCACCAGATGTCTCCTCAGTGAGTGGATGCAATGTCTTTTTCTCCACTCTGTGATATATCTAATCAGTCTTCTGTCTTTATTCACACACAGGGCACTCGTCTGTCTGCTATAATGTTCCCTTTTACCTTCATGTGGTTTTGATTGCTAGCTGTTGTCTTTGATGGTTTTCCTTTGACTGTTCTGGGATGAGGCAAGGGTAGGGAATTGAACAATATATTACATAATCAACTAGCCATGGCGCAGTGACAACTCCCTCCCGCTTGAATGGGTCCTCACCAAGACGTATGATTCCCTGGTGACTACCTTTTACTCCAAGACCATAAGGACATGATTTTCAGTATAGTTACATTATTCCTTAAACATTACCCGTATACACATCTCACAACCATTAAGTATTGATAAGTTACAAGCTTTCAGCAGAGACCTCACCAACTGTCCTTCAAGGATAACTCCCATGAAAGCCATGTATAATGTGTAGTAAGTTTGTCAGGTCTGAGCCAGGAGTTGCTTGTAAAGAACAGTGAACGCTTTTGCCAGTTGGCATCAGTGGTGTCTGTGTCCCAATCATCTTTATAATTAACAGGCCAGGAATTGGAACCTGAGTCTTCAGCAGCTTTCATGCTGCAGCCTCAGAACCTTGGATCAAGAGAGAGAGAAACAAGACCTAAAGCTACCACCTCCCAAGACAAAGAATCACCAGCTGCAGGCTTGCACCAGGAGCAGTGGTGAGTCATGGAGTCCCCGTGTCCCTTTCCGCCTCCTCTGAGCAGAGGCAGTGGTGCTATTGTAGAGTCTCCTCTGCTTCATCCTTTGCTGCTCATCAAGGATGTGAGAGAGCAGCTAAACGCACACATCAGAAAAAAGAGACTCCAGCTCCTGTGGGGCTTGCCATATATAATCCTGAACTCCCTGGCAGCATCCATCCCATCCATCCCAGAGTTCCTGGAATGCACAGCGCTGCTGGAGTCTAAAGAGTACCAGCGGCCACTCTTCAAGGCAGAAAGGCGTAAGCACCTTGAGCAACACCTGAGAGAGAAAATAGTGCATCACAAATGGGGCCTTCCCAAGAGAATCCAGAAGTCTTTGAAATGGTTTATTCCTCCTGAGGCAGCCAAACAGGAGCCCATGCCTGATGAGAAGGTTCCTATATCTACCTTTACACATACAGGAGTATGTGAAGCTTCATGTGGGAGCTCAGAGGCCTGTACTAGCAGGATCTGTCTGACAGCACAGAGATCTGAAGGCAGTGGACAAACCACAGTGACACTAGACACTACATCTGAGACCACTATAGCTGGAAGCATGGGAAATCTTCAGAGACATCAGAACAGAACAGGTCCACAGAATAAAACAGGAGAGGAGTCTCTGCTGCTGGAATGGTCTATGCATTTCAACCCAGATGCAACTGAGCTGCCAGTGATTGGGGAGAAAAAGGAAAAGCACCTGGAGTTCCAGGGAGGGAAGGAGAACTGTGACCTTTCAGAAGACACTGAGGGCTCCTGGGAGACATTTTTGCTGGGTACATGTCCAAGTACACAACCGGCTCTCCTCAATGGGGCTCAGAGTGAAACTGGAACTAGCTTCATGGACACACAGTTCAGAAATAACAAAAGACAATATAACCAGGACCTGGAGCTCGGGACAAAGCTAGAGATGAAATGGGGTGTCTCCTACATGTTCCAGGAATCCTCTCCTGCCATGAGAACTCCCCCTGCCGAACTCACTTACTGGGAGAAAAAGCCCAGCTCAGGAGCAGAAAAAAGCCCTGTAAGCAGGATCAGTGGGTCTCAAAAATTACCCCATAGTTGCCAAAGGGGATTTTCCCAGGGACTCCTAAGGGCCATCAGTCCTCCAGAACAGTCACAATCACAGCTGCTTTCACATGCCAGTGGAGAGGAGGTTCCAAAATCTAACTTTGTCCGGGAAGGACAGAAATTTCTTGGAATGGCAGGCTCTTGTAGGTCAGTAACTATGCACAGAACTGATAGTGACACAGCTGAGACATCTAGGGCCCTGTTACTGGCAGGGCAGTTAGCCTCACTGGAGGGTGAGAATCAAGAGACTAGGCCAAAGATGACTCTTACACAGCTCCCTCTGGAATCCCAGTTGCAACCCAGCCCAGCTGGAGCTCCTCTTGCTGAGATTCCCTGGGCTCTCAATAGAGACATGCTGGGGAATAAAAATCTTCAGATTAAACTGGGTTTGCAGAGTCCCTCCCAAGTGCCCATGACCCCCAGCACTGACTCTGCAGCCTCCCTGCAAATTCCAGGAGCTGAGGGTGAAGAAAGTCTTGTTACAGAGGACACAAAAAAATACTTCGAATTCCACCTGAGAGAAAAATTGCTGCATCAGAAATGGGGACTCCCTAAGAGATTGCAAGAATCCATGACCCTGTTTCTACTGCTAGAAGCAACAATAAATTAATGCCTTTCTTCCCCAAGGAAGACTGGGATGTGCTGGTCTGGGTCTCCTTACTCTCCTTCAAGGACAGAATTCTACAGTAATTATCTCCTCTTCTAAATTTTTGTTATCATTAAATATAACTCTGGATATTCATCTATCTAAATGTCCAATCCCTTTTGGAATCTTACATGCCTGGCCTCAACTGTTACCCGCAAAAACAGAGTTACCTCTCTGTTACTCACACTCTCTAGGGGCACCCACACTTACCCTGTTCCTAGGGCTCAGACATAACCCTGTCAATTTTCTGCAGGTTTGCAGGACCTTTTACCAGTGAAAGAGCCTTACACAGTACTATCCTTATCCTCTATTTATTAACAATCACGAAAAATAGAATGCACACACTACACATACAATGCTCACCACTCCCAATAAGACAGATGAACTTTTCTTGAGGGTCAGTCAGGATCAGTCATCTGGGGGATTCCAGTTTCTACACGGTGTCATTGGCAGAGTGTTGAGGTCTGGCAGCTCTGATGGGGCTGTGTCCTGGAGTTGGTTCCCAAAGAACTTTCTTTTGGACCCCAGTTTATATAGTGAAACTTGAGTCCTGCTTAGCTATACCTTAACCAATCATTTTACTAAAATTTTACTAACCAATCCTAACATTGTAACAAAATTCTCTAGCCAATTATACCCCACCACCTTAATTAATTTACACCTAGCAAAATTAATTATGTAACAGACAGAAACAATCAAAGAACCAGAGATCATATATCAGACAAACAATAGGGAAGTGGGGACCATAATGACAATACAATAAAGAAGTGAGGATTTCACAACCACAACGATTGATAAGTGATTTCTTGCCAGACGGCATGCTATCAAACTAAGTTTTCTTTAACCATCTTAAGATCTGTTTCTTTATCCGGTGATAGTGGGTGCTATTCGACCAGGATCTCCTTCTTAACAGCCTGATAGTACATTGTTTTAATGTAATTTAGATGGGATGTGACTTCCTGCTTCTTAGCTAATGGCTGCTGCTCTTCTAATATGGCTGCAGACAAAAGCTTAAGCTTTAGGCCTTATAATATGGCTACAGGAAAAGGCCTTATCCTTACACAATGACTTCCTGTGGCAGTGAGTTCTGCAGTGTAATTACACATTGTGTGAAAAAGTATTTCCTTTTGTTAGTTCTGAATTTGCTACCTTTTTATTTCACTGAATGTCCCTTGTTCTTATGGTGGGTAGAAAGTTGGCTAGATTGTCGGGCTCAACGGGTAGTGATCAATGGCTCCATGTCTAGTTGGCAGCCGGTGTCAAGCGGAGTGCCCCAGGGGTCGGTCCTGGGGCCGGTTTTGTTCAATATCTTCATAAATGATCTGGAGGATGGTGTGGATTGCACTCTCAGCAAATTTGTGGATGATGCTAAACTGGGAGGAGTGGTAGATACACTGGAGGGCTGGGATAGGATACAGAGGGACCTAGACAAATTGGAGGATTGGGCCAAAAGAAATCTGATGAGGTTCAATAAGGATAAGTGCAGGGTCCTGCACTTAGGACGGAAGAACCCAATGCACTGCTACAGACTAGGGACCGAATGGCTAGGCAGCAGTTGTGCGGAAAAGGACCTAGGGGTGACAGTGGACGAGAAGCTGGATATGAGTCAGCAGTGTGCCCTTGTTGCCAAGAAGGCTAGTGGCATTTGGGGATGTATAAGTAGAGGCATAGCGAGCAGATCGAGGGACATGATCGTCCCCCTCTATTCGACATTGGTGAGGCCTCATCTGGAGTACTGTGTCCAGTTTTGGGCTCCACACTACAAGAAGGATGTGGATAAATTGGAGAGAGTCCAGCGAAGGGCAACAAAAATGATTAGGGGTCTGAAACACATGACTTATGAGGAGAGGCTGAGGGAACTGGGATTGTTTAGTCTGCGGAAGAGAAGAATGAGGGGGGATTTGATAGCTGCTTTCAACTACCTGAGAGGTGGTTCCAGAGAGGATGGCTCTAGACTGTTCTCAGTGGTAGAAGAGGACAGGACAAGGAGTAATGGTCTCAAGTTGCAGTGGGGGAGGTTTAGGTTGGATATTAGGAAAAACTTTTTCACTAGGAGGGTGGTGAAACACTGGAATGCGTTACCTAGGGAGGTGGTAGAATCTCCTTCCTTAGAAGTTTTTAAGTCAGGCTTGACAAAGCCCTGGCTGGGATGATTTAATTGGGGATTGGTCCTGCTTTGAGCAGGGGCTTGGACTAGATGACCTCCTGAGGTCCCTTCCAACCCTGATATTCTATGATTCTATGGTATTAGACAGGAAAAAACATAAGTTCTTTTAAAAAAAAAAGAAAAAAAACCCACACCTCAGATTTTCTCCTAATCACAGGATTCCAGAAATACCAAAGATCACAAGAGTGTAGTTGTAGCTGTATTGGTCGCAGGATATGAAAGACACAAGGTGGGTGAGATAATATCTTTTATTGGACAAATTTCTGTTGGTGAGAGAGACAAGATTTTGAGCTACACAGAGCTCTTCTTCTTGCAGATATACATTGGGGATATGTTCCAGGCTGGGGAGATGGAACTTCAGGGGCACGTTTCTGGGTGGGGAGATGGTCTGAAGAAGAGCTCTGTGTGGCTCAAAAGCTTGTCTTTCTCACCAAGAAAGAAGTTGCTCCAATAAAAGACTTGTCTCTCTCTAAAGATCACAAGACTCAGGAGGATAGCACAAGAGCTGGCCCAGGATCAATCACTGTGGAGAGGGATAGCACAGTGGTTAGAATGCTAGCATGGGACTCAGAAGACCTAGATTCATTCCCTGCTCTGCCATAGGCTGTAAAATGAGGATAACAGATTCACACATTCCGAGGCCAGAAGGGACCACTGTGATCATTTAGCCTGACCTCTATAACACAAGCCAGAAAACATCCCCTAGACTGAGCAGATCTTTTAGAAAAACATCCAACAATGGCATTACCCTACCTCGCAGTGCTGCTGTGTGGATAAATATGTTAAAGTTTGTGAGGCACTCAGATACTTCAGCAATGGGGGCCATATAAGACCCATGTGAAATAGCTGGATAAATTGTTCCCTGCCAATGTCTCACTAAAGCCTTTTGGCTCAAATCTCTTTTTGTTGGAAGTTATAGCTCCTCCCAGTTCAGTATCCTCTGGGAATTTCATTTCCCTCTCAGATTATTAACAAAGCTGTTAATGAAGAATGTGGTCCTAAATAATTCTAATACCAAAAGCAGGTGGTTATGGCAGTGAGCAGTGGAGAGCTCTCTGTTAGCTCATCCCTGGGGTCACAGTTGGGGCCTACTTCTTGCCCTGGTGGATGTGGTACAGGCGAGCCATATCTTGCATGTAGCAACGCTCTCGCAGCAGCTGCTGTGCCTGCTCCTCTAACCGGCGCTTGTGTAAATGCAGTGCGCGTGATCGCTGGATGAGCTGGTGCAGCTCCTGCCGAAGCTCCTGGTTCTCGCATTTCACCTGTTTGCTATGCTCCTGCATGCACCGTGCAACCACTTCCTGTGCCTGTTGCAGGAGGCAGAGCACCTGCTGCTGGGACTTCTGCTCAAAGGCTGCCTTCTCCTGCAGGAAATGGGTTTTGGTCTCCTGCAGGTGCTGAGTGTGCTGCTGCCTGGTGGCCACCAGCTCTCCCTGCAGCTCCCTGATGTGGGCAGCCTGCTCCTGCTGCAGTGCCTGAATCTGCTGCAGGCCTTCAACCTCCTTGCTAAGGCGGAGAAGTTCACCCTCTTTGTGCAACAGTTGTTCCTGCAGAGCTGCCTCCTTCCTCTGGTAGAGGGTGAGCAGTTCCTGCTGCTCCCTGCGGATCTCCTCTAGGGCCTGCTTGTTCTGATCATTCAGGGAGATGATGGCATCCTGGCGCCGCTGGGCCCGCTTGGCCACATAGCACATGAATTCCTGGCTCTCAGCACGGAGACGCTGGGCCTCTTGCTGCAGGAACTCGTTCTCCTCCCGAAGCTGAACACGTGCCCCCTTCATGTCCTCCAGCTCCTTGCAGAGACGGCTGTACTCCTCTTCTCTGCTGGCTACGGCCCCCTCAGAAACTCCCTCTGAGGGTGCAGCCACAGCTGGTTGCCCCTTCTGCTCTTGCTGCAGTTTCTGCCTTCTTTTGGGGGGCATAGTGAGGCCTCAGGAGAGAGACAATGGAAAAAGATACAGTAAAAGACAGCTCAACAGCCTCCACCTACCTCTCCCCAGTGAGCATCAAGAGCAGCTCCCAGAGCAGGGTAGCTGAGGGGGGGAGACTTCAGCCCCCTGTGTTTGTAAAATAGCTGAGTGATTGCCATCACCACCATTGTTCTCCAAAGAAACATGTGTGGGGGCCAGCATAGGTCCTGGTGTCTCAGGTTAAAGAGGTGCCTCCTGAAGCCTCCTGTTTCTGCTGAAAATCCCATTACCTGTGGGTATTAAGTGCCCCATGCCTTTTGCTATACCACTGAAGCAAAGGGGATCTAGGAAGGAAATTGCTGCTGACATTTTCTCCATGTGCAGTGTTGGGGTTATGGCTTCCTTGGGCCAGGCACAGCCCCTGTGCTGGAAAGCCAAACACTGTGACAAGGAAAGCCCCTCACCCTTGTGCCCCCTTGCCCCAGGACAGGGCCTTCCAGTCCAGGCTCCCTGTGTCCCTAACTCCTCTTCACTCTGTACTCGTCACCTCAGCTCCCCTCACCTCCTAGCAGTCTGCTACCACTTCCCTCACTACATCCCAGGGCCCTGTCTCCCCGCACCTCATACCACCCAGCATCCATGAGCCCAGGCCAGGACCCCCCCTAGCTCCCCTTCACCCCCAACCCTGGGCCCGTCTCCCCCCACCTCGTACCACCCGGCATCCATGAGCCCAGGCCAACACCCCCCCCCCCCTCCCCTTCACCTCCAACCCTGGGCCTGTCTCCCCCCACCTCGTACCACCCGGCATCCATGAGCCTAGGCCAACATCCCCCCCCCCCCCGCTCCCCTTCACCTCCAACCCTGGGCCTGTCTCCCCCCACCTCGTACCACCCGGCATCCATGAGCCCAGGCCAGGCCCCCCAGCTCCCCTTCACCCCAACCCCGGGCCTGTCTCCCCCCACCTCGTACCACCCGGCATCCATGAGCCTAGGCCAACATCCCCCCCCCCAGCTCCCCTTCACCTCCAACCCCGGGCCTGTCTCCCCCCACTTCGTACCACCCGGCATCCATGAGCCCAGGCCAGGCCCCCCCAGCTCCCCTTCACCCCAACCCCGGGCCTGTCTCCCCCCACCTCGTACCACCCGGCATCCATGAGCCTAGGCCAACATCCTCCCCCCCCCCCCCCCCCGCTCCCCTTCACCTCCAACCCCGGGCCCGTCTCCCCCCACCTCGTACCACCCAGCATCCATGAGCCTAGGCCAACATCCTCCCCCCCAGCTCCCCTTCACCTCCAACCCCGGGCCCGTCTCCCCCCACCTCGTACCACCCAGCATCCATGAGCCTAGGCCAACATCCTCCCCCCCAGCTCCCCTTCACCTCCAACCCTGGGCCCGTCTCCCCCCACCTCGTACCACCCGGCATCCATGAGCCCAGGCCAGGCCCCCCCCAGCTCCCCATGCCAGGACCCTGGCTCCTTCCCAGCTCCCCCATTGGTACCAGCCCCCTCCCCTGGACTCCCCCCACCCAGCTCCCGCCACCTCAGGCCAGGCCCCCACAGCGCCCCCCTACCTCGTGCCCCCTGGCTCCCCCCCGCATGCCCGGGCCCCCGCCCCTCCCCCCCACTCGTGCCCCCGCAGCCCCCCCCCCCCCCCCCCCCCCCCCCCGCCCCCCCCCCCCCCCGGCCCCCTCCCCGGCGGCTGCGTTTTCGGGCCCCTCACCCGGACTTGGTCCCGCGCCGCTTCCCCGTCGCCTGGAGACGGGGCGGCTCCGGCTCCCGCCCGGCCCCGCCCCACAGACCGAGGCCCCAGCGTGGGGGCGGGATTCCCCTCCGCTGTGGGGCGCACAGTGACCCCCCGGGCCGCGCCGAGCCGCCCCCCCGCCCCCCCCGGGCGAGGAGTCGCCTCCCAACCGGGCCCTGGGGGACCCGCCCCCCCAAAGCCGCCGGCGGGCCCGGGTTTCTGATCCGCAACCCGGACACCCCCACCCCCGCCCGTCCACTGGGCCGAGGTGCGGGAGGGGTGCGGGCTCCAGGATGGGGCTAGAAATGAGGGGTTCCGGGTGCGGGAGGGGGGCTCCGGGCTGGGACGTGGCGTGGGGGGGGGGCTCAGGGCTGGGGGTTGGGGTGCAGGGGGGAGGTGGGCTCCGGCTGGGGGGGGGGGCTCTGGGGATGAGTTTGGCATGCAGGGGGGGCTCCCGGCTGGGACAGGGGGTTGGGGTGGGGGGGGGTGCAGTGTGTAGGTGCCGGGAGGGAGTTTGGGTGCAAGCGGGGGCTCAGTGCTAGGGCAGGGGGTTGGGACGGGGTTGGGGTGCAGGCTCGAGGAAGAGGTTCCGACCTGGGGCAGAGGCTGGAGGTGTGGGCTCAGGTGGTTCCTGATCTGCAGCGTAGCAGGGCTAAGGCAGGCTCCTTGCCTGCCCTGGCTCTGCACAGCTTGTAGAAGCAGCAGGGGGGGGGAACGGGACGGGGACACACAACACGAAGGCAGCTCTGTGTGCTGCCCGCAGCCACTGTCCCTACAGCTGCCATTGTCTGCGGTTGCCAGCATAGGGCCTGGCCCCATGCCCGGGGGTCCTGGCCACCAGCAGCACCCCTCTGCGTCTGGCCCCCCATGCAGCAGCCGGCCCCATGCCACTTCTGGCCACGCATGCGGCTGCTGGCCCTGGGCCCGAGGGTCCTGGCTGCTGGCCCTGCTCTCGACCCCAGCTGTGGCCAGAGCCTTGGCTCCCTTACCGCTGTCTGGGTCCCCCACCCCCAGAGATATAGCCCTGCTCCCAGCCCCAGCTCTGGGGGCGGGCAGGGAGAGTGGATAGGGGGCTGGCTTTCAGCACCCCTATTATTAAAATGTTCCAGCACCACTGGTTCTCAGCCACTGGGAGCTGCTGAGCTTCCCTGATCACCCCTCTGCCTAGGGGCTGCAGGAACATGCCGGCCACTTCTGGGACTGCATGGAGCCAGGGCAGGCAGGGAGCCTGTCTTAGACCCGCTATGGCGCTGACCGGACTTTTAATTGCCCAATCAGCAGTGCTGACCAGAGCCACCAAGGTCCCTTTTCAACTGGGCGTTCCAGTCAAAAAACCAGACACCTGGCAACCCTACGGCTGGCCTGAGCAGGACTCTACCCCTGCCTGTTTCAGGGAAGAGGAGGAGCAAGGGTGGGGTCACAGCCTGGGTTAGGGGAGCCTCCCCTGGCCTACGATACTCCCAGCTCATGGAAATTGCTCATTCATTAACATAAATGTGATCTAGTTGGTAGGACTGACACCCGGTAGAATGATTCACACGATTGGATTCTACTTCTTTAGAAAAAGTCACATGGGCAAAAGGGGAGTGGGAGGGCTACTCTATGTCAAAAATGACATTACCTGTTTCCAAGTCACTGGTAACTCAATAAAACCATTTTGAATGTTCATGGATCACTGTTGTAACAGGTAAAGCACAAGATGGGCTATGAGTCGGTGTTCGCTACAAACTGCCAAATCAGGTTCCTTATATCTCTGTCTAAAGTGCATCATGGGGAAACTGCAATTAGAGGGACATGCTGGAGGTCTCATATGGCCAGTAGAACCCTAGAATCACAGAGTCTCAGGGCTGGAAGGGACCTCAGGAGATCATCTAGTCCCACCCCCTGCTCAAAGCAGGACCAGTCCCCAACTAAATCATCCCAGCCAGGGTCTTAAAAATATCTAAGGAAGGAGATTCCACCACCTCCCTAGGTAACGCATTCCAGTGTTTCACCACCCTCCTAGTGAAAAAGTTTTTCCTAATATCCAGCCTCAACCTCCCCCACTGCAACTTGAAACCATTACTCCTTGTTCTGTCATCTTCTACCACTGAGAACAGTCTAGAGCCATCCTCTTTGGAACCCCCTTTCAGGTAGTTGAAAGCAGCTATCAAATCCCCCCTCATTCTTCTCTTCCCAAACTAAACAATCCCAGTTCCCTCAGCTTCTCCTCATAAGTCATGTGTTCCAGACCCCTAATCATTTTTGTTGCCCTCCGCTGGACTCTCTCCAATTTTTCCACATCCTTCTTGTAGTGTGGGGCCCAAAACGACACAGTACTCCAGCTGAGACCTCATCAATGTCGAATAGAGGAGAACGATCACGTCCCTCGATCTGCTGGCAATGCCCCTAACTATACATCCCAAAATGCCATTGGCCTTCTTGGCAACAAGGTCACACTGTTGACTCATATCCAGCTTCTTGTCCACTGTAACCCCTAGGTCCTTTTCTGCAGAACTGCTGCCGAGCCATTCAGTCCCTAGTCTGTAGTGGTGCATGGGATTCTTCCATCCTAAGTCCAGGACTCTGCACTTGTCCTTGTTGAACCTCGTCAGATTTCTTTTGGCCCAATCCTCCAATTTGTCTAGGGCCCTCTGTATCCTATCCCTACCCTCCAATGTATCTACCACTCCTCCCAGTTTAGTGTTATCTGCAAACTTGCTGAGGGTGCAATCCACACCATCCTCCAGATCATTTATGAAGATATTGAACAAAACTGGCCCGAGGACTGACCCTTGGGGCATGCTACTTGATACCGGCTGCCAACTAGACATGGAGCCATTGATCACTACCCGTTGAGCCCGACAATCTAGCCAACTTTCTATCCACCTTATAGTCCATTCATCCAGCCCATACTTCTTTAACTTGCTGGCAAGAATACTGTGGGAGACCGTGTCAAAAGCTTTGCTAAAGTCAAGGAATAACACGTCCACTGCTTTCCCCTCATCCACAGAGCCAGTTATCTCGTCATAGAAGGCAATTAGATTAGTCAGGCATGACTTGCCCTGGGTGAATCCATGCTGACTGTTCCTGATCACTTTCCTCTCCTCTAAGTGCTTCAGAATTGATTCCTTGAGGACCTGCTCCATGATTTTTCCAGGGACTGAGGTGAGGCTTACTGGCTTGTAGTTCCTAGGATCCTCCTTCTTCCCTTTTTTAAAGATGGCCACTACATTAGCCTTTTTCCAGTCATCCGGGACTTCCCCCGATCGCCATGAGTTTTCAAAGATAATGGACAATGGCTCTGCAAATCACATCCACCAACTCCTTTAGCACTCTCGGATGCAGCGCATCCGGCCCCATGGACTTGTGAACGTCCAGCTTTTCTAAATAGTCCCGAACCACTTCTTTCTCCACAGAGGGCTGGTCACCTCCTCCCCATGCTGTGCTGCCCATTGCAGCCGTCTGGGAGCTGACCTTGTGAAGACAGAGGCAAAAAAGGCATTGAGTACATTAGCTTTTTCCACATCCTCTGTCACTAGGTTGCCTCCCTCATTCAGTACTAAACATCATTGAAATTTCTGAATACTACCACAATCCATTTCCTAACTCAAACTGTGGCATCCAGCATGGTGGGATTGTGTATTAGACCTCATCTTGACCGATAAAGAACTGATCACAACACTAAAATTATAGCTCAGGTGTAAGTAATCATTTTCGTTGCCCTCCGCTGGACTCCTTTCAATTTCGTCACATCCCTTCTGTAGTGGGGGTTCCAAAACTGGACACAACACTCCAGGTGTGGCCTCACCAGTGCCGAATAGAGGGGAATAATCACTTCCCTCCATCTGCTGGCAATGCTCCTACTAATACAGCCCAATATGCCGTTGACCTTCTTGGCAATGAGGGCACCCTCCGCAATGGCCTTATCATTCTTGAGTGTTCCCTTAGCCTCTCGATTGTCCAGTGGCCCCATTGGGTGTTTATCCGGCTTCCCGCTTCTGATGTACTTAAAAAAAATTGTGCGGTCACTTTTTGCGTCTTTGGCTAGCTGATCCTCCGTTCTTTTTTGGCCTTCCTAATTATATTTTTACACTTCACGTGCAAGAGTTTATGCTCCTTTCTATTTTCCTCACTCGGATTTAACTTCCACTTTTTAAAGGATACCCTTTTTGCTTCTCACTGATTCTTTTACTTTGCTGTTTAGCCACCGTGGCACTTTTCTGGGTCACTTACTATGTTTTTTAATTTTGGGTATACACTTAAGTTGAGCCTCTATTATGGTGCCTTTAAAAAGTTCCCATGCAGCTTGCCGGGATTTCACTTTTAGCACTGTACCTTTTGATTTCTGTTTAACTAACTTCCTCATTTTTGTGTAGTCCCCCTTCTGAAATTAAATGCTACCATGTTGGGCTACTGTGTTTTCCCTGCCACCGGGATGTTCAATTTTATTATGTTATGGTCACTATTACCAAGAGGTCCAGCTATATCAGTGGCGGGCAAACTTTTTGGCCTGAGGGCTGCATCGGGTTTCGGAAATTGTATGGAGAGCCGGTTAGGGGAGGGGTCGTGGCCCAGCCCCCACCTCCTAACCGCCCCCGGGACTCCTGCCCCATCCAACCCCACTCCCCGCTCCCTGGCCCCTGACTGCCCCTGGACCCCCACCCCAACTGCCCCCCCTCACCCCATCCAACCCCTCCTCTCATTCCTGACTGCCCCCCCGGGACTCCTGCCCCACCCAACCCCCCCTTCTTCCTGACTGCCCCCCCGGGATCCCTGCCCCATCCAACTACCCCTTCTGACTGCCCCTGGAACCTCTGTCCCTGACTGCCCCCTGCCGCCCCATCCCACCCCCCCTTCCTGTCTGCCCCCATTCAACCCCCTGTTCCTGCCCCAACCCTTATCCACACTCCTGCCCTCTGACCACCACCCCGAACTCCCCTGCCCTCTATCCAGCCCCCCCCCCCCCGCTCCGTGGCCCCTACCACGCTCCTGGCGCACTGGTGGCTGGCGGCGCTACAGGTGCTCCGCCCAGCGGGAGCCAGGCCACGCCGCCGCCGCCACCGTGCAGCACAGAGCGCCAGGTCAGGCCGGGCTCTGCAGCTGCTGCTGCCCCAGGAGCTCACCCCGCCGCCCAGAGCATTGCGCCAGCGGCGAGGTGAGACTGCGGGGGAGGGGGTGGGGGACAGCCTCCCCAGCCAGGAGCTCAGGGGCCGGGCAGGAGGGTCCGCAGGCCAGATGTGGCCCGTGGGCCGTAGTTTGCCCACCTCTGAGTATATTCACCTCCTGGACCAGATCCTGTGCTCCACTTAGGACTAAATCAAGAATTGCCTCTCCTCTTGTGGGTTCCAAGACGAGCTGCTCCAAGAAGCAGTCATTTAAGGTGTCAACACACTTTATCTCTGCATCCTGTCCTGAGGTGACGTACCCAGTCTATATGGGGATCATTGAAATCCCCCACTATTATTGCGTTTTTTATTGCCTCTCTAATTTCCCTAAGTATTTCACAGTTACTATCCCCATCCTGCTCAGGTGGTTGGTAATATATCCCTACTGCTATATTCTTATTATTCGAGCATGGAATTACTATCCATTGAGACTCCATGGTACAGTTTGGTTAATTTAAGATTTGATTCTACACTTTCTTTCACATCTAATGCCACTCCCCCACCAGCACAACCTGTTCTGTCCTTCCGATATATTTGGTACCCTGGTGTGACTGTATCCCATTGATTATCCTCATTACACCACATTTCTGTGATGCCTATTGTATCAAAATCCTCATTTAATATGAGGCACTCTAGTTCACCCATCTTATTATTTAGACTTCCAGTATTTGTATATAAGCACTTTAAAAAATTGTCACTTTTTAGCTGTCTGCTATTACATGATGTTACATCATGTTACATGATTGGTCCTGCTTTGAGAAGGGGGTTGGACGAGATGACCTCCTGAGATCCCTTCCAACCCTGATATTCTATTATTCTATGATGGGACTCTTTTCCTTTGACTGATTCTCATCAGATCCTACCCATATTTTATCATCTTCCATCCTCTCCTCCTTAGTAGGACATAGTGAATCTCCATTAATAGATCCTCCCCTAAGGGATGCCTCTGTCCAAACTACGTGGTCCTCTGAACCTGTGGCTTTCCCCCAGTCCTTAGTTTAAAAACTGCTTTATGACCTTTTTAATTTTAAATGCCAGCAATCTGGTTCCATTTTGGTTTAGGTGGAGGCCAGCCTTCCTGTATAGGCTCCTCCATTCCCAAAAATCAGAGGGGTAGCCAGTCCACACAAGAGATCCACTTCCTGGACACGACAGTGCAAATAAGTGCTGGTCACATAAACACCACCCTATACCGGAAACCCACTGACCGCTATACTTACCTACATGACTCCATACAGCCATCCAGGACACATCACACAATCCATTGTGCGTTACCTAGGGAGGTGGTAGAATCTCCTTCCTTAGAGGTTTTTAAGGTCAGGCTTGACAAAGCCCTGGCTGGGATGATTTAGTTGGGGCTTGGTCCTGCTTCGAGCAGGGGGTTGGACTAGATTACCTTCTGGGGTCCCTTCCAACCCTGATATTCTATGATTCTATGATTCATTGTCTACAGCCAAGCGCTAAAATACAACCACATTTGCTCCAATCCCTCAGACAGACAAAGCACCTACAAGATCTTTATCAAGCTTCTTAAAACTACAATACCCACCTGGGGAAGTGAGGAAACAGATTGACAGAGTGAGATGCGTACTCCAAAGTCACCTACTACAGGACAGGCCCAACAAGGAAAATAACAGAACACCACTGGCCTTCACGTACAGCCCCCAGCTAAAACCTCTCCAGCATATCATCAACGATCTACAACCTATCCTAGAAAATGATCCCTCACTCCTGCAGACCTTGGGAGGCAGGCCAGTCCTCGCTTACAGACAGCCCCCTAACCTGAAGCAAATACTCACCAGCAACTATACACCACACCACAGAAACACTAACCCAGGAACCAATCCCTGTAACAAACCCTGATGCCTTCTCTGTCCCCATATCTACTCTAGTGACACCATCAGAGGATCCAACCACATCAGCCAGATCATCAGGGGCTCGTTCACCTGCACATCTACCAATGTGATATATACCATCATGTGCCAGCATTGACCCTCTGCCATGTACACTGGCCAAACTGGACAGTCTACACAAAAGAATAAATGGACACACATCAGACATCAGGAATGGTAACATACAAAAGCCAGTAGGAGAACACCTCAAGCTCCCTGGACATTCAATAACAGATTTAAAAGTAGCCACCCTTCAACAAAAAAACTTCAAAAACAGACTTCAAAGAGAAACTGCAGAGCTACAATTCATTTACAAACTTAACACCATTAATTTGGTCTTGAACAGGGACTGGGAGTGGCTGGCTCACTACAAAAGCAATATTCCCTCTCTTGGTATGGACACCTCCTCATCAATTATGGGGAGTAGACCACATCCACCCTGACTGAATTGGCCTTGCCAACACTGGTTCTCCGCTTGTAAGGTACTCCCTTCTCTTCATGTGCCAGTATATTTATGCCTGTATCTGTAATTGTCACTCCATGCATCTGAAGAAGTGGGTTTTTTTACCCACAAAAGCTTATGTCCAAATCTGTTAGTCTTTAAGGTGCCACCAGACTCCCCATTCCCAAAAGGCTCCCTAGTTTCCAATAAATCTAAACCCCTCCCCCCTACACCATCCTCTTATCCACGCATTGAGACCCTGCAGTTCTGCCTGTCTAACTGGCCCTGTGCGAGGAACTGGAAGCATCTCAGAGAATGGCTCCCAAGGAGGTCCTGGACTTCAATCTGTTACCTAGCAGCCTAAATTTGGCCTCCAGGAGGTCTCTCCTATCTTCCCTATGTCATTGGTACCTTCACGTACCACGACCACCGGCTCCTCCCTAGCACTACACAAAAGTCTGTCTAGATGTCTAGAGAGATCTATCTACAACCTTCACACCAGGCAGGCAAGTCACCATGCGGTTCTCCCGGTCATCACAAACCCAGCTATCTGTATTTCTAATGATCAAATCCCCCATTACTAATACCTGTCTCTTCCTAATAACTGGAGTTCCCTCCCCCGGAGAGGTCTCCTCAGTGCGAGAGGATACCACATCATCATCTGGAAGGAGGGTCCCAACTATGGGATTGTTTCCCTCTGGTCCAGTTGGATGTTTTCCTTCCCTGAGACTTTCATCCTCCTCAACAGCACAGAGGCTGTCAAACTTGGGGTGGGACCATTCTACTGTGTCCCAGAAAGTCTCCTCTGTGTCTCCCTTTAGCTCCTCCGGTTCAGCCACTCTGCTCCCTGAAGCCTGTACACAGTCTCTGAGGGCCAGGAGCTCCTTGCACCGAATGCATGCATATGACACCTGCCCATAGGGTAGGTAATCATACATGCTGCATTGTGTGCAATAAACTGGGTAGCCCCCACTCTGCTGCTGGACTTCTGCCTGTGTAACACACGCCTCTTGGGTGTGGTGCTCCGTCCCATCTAGTGGCACTGAGCCCTGGTCTACACTAGGACTTTAGGTCGAATTTAGCAGCGTTAAATCGATTTAAACCTGCACCCGTCCACACAATGAAGCCCTTTATTTCGACTTAAAGGGCTCTTAAAATCGATTTCCTTACTCCACCCCTGACAAGTGGATTAGCGCTTAAATCGACGTTGCCGGCTCGAATTTGGGGTACTGTGGACACAATTCGATGGTATTGGCCTCCGGGAGCTATCCCAGAGTGCTCCATTCTGACCGCTCTGGACAGCGCTCTCAACTCAGATGCACTGGCCAGGTAGACAGGAAAAGAACCGCTAACTTTTGAATCTCATTTCCTGTTTGGCCAGTGTGGCAAGCTGCAGGTGACCATGCAGAGCTCATCAGCACAGGTGACCATGATGGAGTCCCAGAATCGCAAAAGAGCTCCAGCATGGACCGAACGGGAGGTACGGGATCTGATCGCTGTTTGGGGAGAGGAATCCGTGCTATCAGAACTCCGTTCCAGTTTTCGAAATGCCAAAACCTTTCTGAAAATCTCCCAGGGCATGAAGGACAGAGGCCATAACAGGGACCCGAAGCAGTGCCGCGTGAAACTGAAGGAGCTGAGGCAAGCCTACCAGAAAACCAGAGAGGCGAACAGCCGCTCTGGGTCAGAGCCCCAAACATGCCGCTTCTATGATGAGCTGCATGCCATTTTAGGGGGTTCAGCCACCACTACCCCAGCCATGTTGTTTGACTCCTTCAATGGAGATGGAGGCAATACGGAAGTAGGTTTTGGGGACGAAGAAGATGATGATGAGGAGGTTGTAGATAGCTCACAGCAAGCAAGCGGAGAAACCGGTTTTCCCGACAGCCAGGAACTGTTTCTCACCCTAGACCTGGAGCCAGTACCCCCCGAACCCACCCAAGGCTGCCTCCTGGACTCAGCAGGCGGAGAAACAGGACCTCTGGTGAGTGTACCTTTTAAAATGCTATACATGGTTTAAAAGCAAGCATGTGAAAGGATTACTTTGCCCTGGCATTTGCGGTTCTGCCTTTGCAAAAGGTTTCTGGGGAGGGCAGCCTTATTTCGTCCTTCATGGTAGGACACTTTACCACTCCAGGCCAGTAACACGTACTCAGGAATCACTGTAGAACAAAGCATTGCAGTGTATGTTTGCTGGCATTCAACCAAAATCCGTTCACGCGGTGGGAGGAGGCAAAATGCGACCTTGTAACGAAAGCACATGTGCTATGTATGTAATGTTAACAGCAAGGTTTACCCTGAAAGAGTGTAGCGACTGTTTTATAAAATGTGTCTTTTTAAATACCGCTGTCCCTTTTTTTTTCTCCACCAGCTGCATGTGTTTCAATGATCACAGGATCTTCTCCTTCCCAGAGGCTAGTGAAGCTTAGAAAGAAAAAAAACCGCACTCACGATGAAATGTTCTCCGAGCTCATGCTGTCCTCCCACACTGACAGAGCACAGACGAATGCGTGGAGGCAAATAATGTCAGAGTGCAGGAAAGCACAAAATGACCAGGAGGAGAGGTGGAGGGCTGAAGAGAGTAAGTGGCGGGCTGAAGAGAGTAAGTGGTGGGCTGAAGACAGGGCTGAAGCTCAAAGGTGGCGGCAGCGTGATGAGAGGAGGCAGGATTCAATGCTGAGGCTGCTGCAGGACCAAACCAGTATGCTCCAGTGTATGGTTGAGCTGCAGCAAAGGCAGCTGGAGCACAGACTGCCACTGCAGCCCCTCTGTAACCAACCGCCCTCCTCCCCAAGTTCCATAGCCTCCACACCCAGACGCCCAAGAACGCGGTGGGGGGGCCTCCGGCCAACCAGCCACTCCACCACAGAGGATTGCCCAAAAAAAAGAAGGCTGTCATTCAATAAATTTTAAAGTTGTAAACTTTTAAAGTGCTGTGCTTAAAGTGCTGTGTGGCATTTTCCTTCCCTCCTCCACCACCCCTCCTGGGATACCTTGGTAGTCATCCCCCTATTTGTGTGATGAATGAATAACGAATGCATGACTGTGAAGCAGCAATGACTTTATTGGCTCTGCAAGCAATGATTAAAGGGAGGAGGGGAGGGTGGTTAGCTTACAGGGAAGTAGAGTGAACCAAGGGGCGGGGGGGTTCATCAAGGAGAAACAAACAGAACTTTCACACCGTAGCCTGGCCAGTCATGAAACTGGTTTTCAAAGCTTCTCTGATGCGTACCGCGCCCTCCTGTGCTCTTCTAACCGCCCTGGTGTCTGGCTGCGCGTAACCAGCAGCCAGGCGATTTGCCTCAACCTCCCACCCCGCCATAAACGTCTCCCCCTTACTCTCACAGATATTGTGGAGCACACAGCAAGCAGTAATAACAGTGGGAATATTGGTTTCGCTGAGGTCTAAGCGAGTCAGTAAACTGCGCCAGCGCGCCTTTAAACGTCCAAATGCACATTCTACCACCATTCTGCACTTGCTCAGCCTGTAGTTGAACAGCTCCTGACTACTGTCCAGGCTGCCTGTGTATGGCTTCATGAGCCATGGCATTAAGGGGTAGGCTGGGTCCCCAAGGATACATATAGGCATTTCAACATCCCCAACAGTTATTTTCTGGTCTGGGAATAAAGTCCCTTCCTGCAGCTTTTGAAACAGACCAGAGTTCCTGAAGATGCAAGCATCATGCACCTTTCCCGGCCATCCCACGTTGATGTTGGTGAAACGTCCCTTGTGATCCACCAGAGCTTGCAGCACTATCGAAAAGTACCCCTTGCGGTTTATGTACTCGGCGGCTTGGTGCTCCGGTGCCAATATAGGGATATGGGTTCCGTCTATAGCCCCACCACAGTTAGGGAATCCCATTGCAGCAAAGCCATCCACTAGGACCTGCACATTTCCCAGGGTCACTACCCTTGATATCAGCAGATCTTTGATTGCGTGGGCTACTTGCATCACAGCAGCCCCCACAGTAGATTTGCCCACTCCAAATTGATTCCCAACTGACCGGTAGCTGTCTGGCGTTGCAAGCTTCCACAGGGCTATCGCCACTCGCTTCTCAACTGTGAGGGCTGCTCTCATCTTGGTATTCATGCGCTTCAGGGCAGGGGAAAGCAAGTCACAAAGTTCCATGAAAGTGCCCCTACGCATGCGAAAGTTTCGCAGCCACTGGGAATCGTCCCAGACCTGCAACACTATGCGGTCCCACCAGTCTGTGCTTGTTTCCCGAGCCCAGAATCGGCGTTCCACAGCATGAACCTGCCCCATTAGCACCATGATGCATGCATTGTCAGGGCCCATGCTTTCAGAGAAATCTGTGTCCATGTCCTGATCACTCACGGGACCGCGCTGACGTCGCCTCCTCGCCCGGTATCGCGTTGCCATGTTCTGGTGCTGCATATACTGCTGAATAATGCGTGTGGTGGTTAATGTGCTCCTAATTGCCAAAGTGAGCTGAGCGGGCTCCATGCTTGCCGTGGTATGGCGTCCGCACAGAAAAAAGGCGCGGAACGATTGTCTGCCGTTGCTCTGACGGAGGGAGGGGCGACTGACGACACGGCTTACAGGGTTGGCTTCAGGGAGCTAAAATCAACAAAGGGGGTGCCTGTACATCAAGGAGTATTTCAGGCAGGACTGCACGGAGGGTTCCAATAAGAAATGGTGCAGCTAAGTTATCGTTGTTATTGGAACAAGGAGGTTAGCCTGGCCTCTGATTGATACATGGCTAGATTTACCTCGCTGCACCTTCTCTGTGAGTGACTGCAGTGTGACCTAGAGGAATGAGTCCCCTAGACAGGGGAGGAGGCAAATGAGTACAAAACAAATCTGGTCTATTTCTTGTTTTGACCCACTCCATCTATCTTTTACATCTTTGGCTGGCAGCAGACGGTGCAGAAGGACTGCATGCCATCCACATCTCATGGCTGCTCGGCAGAAGATGGTACAGTACGACTGCTAGCCATCCCCATCTCTTGCCTGCCTGGCAGAAGATGGTGCAATACGACTGCTAGCAATCCTCATCTCTTGCCTGCCTGGCAGAAGATGGTACAGTACGACTGCTAGCAGTCCGTATCGCCTGCCCGCTCACCGTAAGACGGTTCAATAGGACTGACTGCAGGACTAAAGAGAATGACCTGGTCAAGTCACTCCAAATTTAGTCCCTGCGACCATGTCTGCCCAGGCGCTCCCAGCCGACGCAGCCAGGAGCACCTCGGACACGACGAGGACGACTACCAATCGTATTGCACCGTCTGCTGCCAGAAGGCAATGGGTTGCTGCTACTGTGCAGCAAAGCCGTACCGCGTCTGCCAGCACCCAGGAGACATAGGGTGACGGTTACCTGAGCGGGCTCCATGCTTGCTGTGGTATGGCGTCTGCACAGGTAACTCAGGAAAAAAGGCGCGAAATGATTGTCTGCCCTTGCTTTCACGGAGGGAGGGAGGGAACGGGGGCCTGACGACACGTACCCAGAACCACCCGCGACAATGTTTTAGCCCCATCAGAGTGCTCCATTGTGACTGCTCTGGACAGCACTCTCAGATGCCCGATTGTTTGCCATTGCTCTGATGCTGGGAGGGGCGCTTACAGGGTTGGCTTCAGGGAGCTAAAATCAACAAAGGGGGTGGCTTTACATCAAGGAGTATTTCAGGCAGGACTTCACGGAGGGTTCCAATAAGAAATGGTGCACCTAAGTTATTGTCCTTATTGGAGCAAGAAGGTTAGCCTGGCCTCTGATTGATACATGGCTAGATTTACCTCGCTGCACCTTCTCTGTAAGTGACTGCAGTGTGATCTAGAAGAATGAGTCCCCTAGACAGGGGAGGGGGGGAAGCAAATGAGTACAAAACAAATCTGGTCTATTTCTTGTTTTGATCCACTCCATCTATCTTTTACATCTTTGGCTGGCAGCAGACGGTGCAGAAGGACTGCATGCCATCCACATCTCATGGCTGCTCGGCAGAAGATGGTACAGTACGACTGCAAGCAGTCCGTATCGCCTGCCCGCTCACCATAAGACAGTTCAATAGGACTGACTGCAGGACTAAAGAGAATGACCTGGTCAAGTCACTCCAAATTTAGTCCCTGTGCCCATGTCTGCCCAGGCGCTCCTGATCGACCTCACAGAGGCGACCAGGAGCACCTCAGACATGACGATGACGGCTACCAGTCGTACTGTACCGTCTGCTGCCACAAGGCAAGGGGTTGCTGCTACTGTGTAGCAATGCCGTACCGCGTCTGCCAGCACCCAGGAGACATAGGGTGACGGTTACCTGAGCGGGCTCCATGCTTGCCATGGTATGGCGTCTGCACAGGTAACTCAGGAAAAAAGGCGCGAAATGATTGTCTGCCCTTGCTTTCACGGGGGGAGGGAGGGAACGGGGGGCTGACGATATGTACCCAGAACCACCCGCGACAATGTTTTAGCCCCATCAGGCATTGGGATCTCAACCCAGAATTCCAATGGGCAGCGGAGACTGCGGGAACTGTGGGATAGCTACCCACAGTGCAACGCTCTGGAAGTCGACGCTTGCCTCGGTACTGTGGAAGCGCTCCGCCGAGTTAATGCACTTAATGCACTTAGAGCATTTTCTGTGGGGACACACACACTCGAATTTATAAAACCGATTTCTAAAAAACCGACTTCTATAAATTCGACCTTATTCCGTAGTGTAGACATACCCTGAGACCACTTAGAGAATCATAGACTCATAGAATCTCAGGGTTGGAAGGGACCTCAGGAGGTCATCTAGTCCAACCCCCTGCACGAAGCAGGACCAATCCCCAATTTTTGCCCCACATCCCAAATGGCCCCCTCAAGGATTGAACTCACAACCCTGGGTTTAGCAGGCCAATGCTCAAACCACTGAGCTATCCCTCCCCCCAAGAGAGAGAAAGAGAAAACGAGTCTGCTCTACAGCCTTAACTAAAAGGCAGTTGGCTTTTAGTTCATGCAGTAGAGGTTCATGCACTAAGCTCCAGAGGTCCCAGGTTTGATCCCGCCTGGTGACGACTGAGGTCTGTCGACATTACACCTACATTCTCTTTTTACTCCTGCAGCTTGTTCCTTTGTTGATGTTTTGTTTTTATCAGGGGGTGTTTTTAGCCTTAAGTTTGAAGACTGTTAAGTGTATCTAGCCCCCTTCCCCCCCCCCCCGGGGCCCATTGCCCCTGTAAACTCCCTCACAGAACTCCCCTATTCACTAGCTACTCTGGTCATTTAGGAATGGGCTTTTTAAAGCCCTGCTCTCCCTGAGTAGCCCCGCCCCCTGGTTAAGGGTTGATAGGTGCTAAAGGGCTTAGGGATCAAAGTCTTGTTAAGAAGCTCTCAGCCTTGCCTAGCAGGCCACTAGGCTCAGCACACGGTTCCCCAAACAAACAGACCACATGGTATATTTCAGTCAAGCAGCAAGCACACCACAAACACACATACTACAGACAACAATCTTACCCCAAGAGTTATGTAATTGCTCCTCCTTCACCTGGAGAACTCCCTTGCAAAACTCCCATTAGATGCTCCTGTTGCATCCACTAGTTTTAAAAGAACTAGCTGAGGTGTTCACTGGACTGTTAATGTTGATTTTCCATAAATTTTGGAACACTGTGTGAGTTCCAGAAGACTGGAAGCAAGCTAATGTTGGGCCAATAAGTAAAAAGGGTAAATGGGATGACCAAGATAGTTATAGGCCTGTCAGTCGGACATCAATCCTGAGTCACACAATAGGGTGGGTGATATGGGACTCAACTAATAAATGTTTTTTAGAAGGTAGGATAAGTAATGCCAGACAACACAGGCTTATGGAAAATAGATCCTGTCAAAATAACTTGATATCTTTTTTGATGAAATTATTTCCTTT